AACTACAAACGAAACTCCCGTGTGAATCCTGTATTAGAATGAGTAAGGATATGTTCACATTAGCGTAGAAAATTAAAGTAAACAAGAATTATAACTGTAATTTTTTTTTTTAAATTAAGGAACCAATTACACTAAAAATCTAGAAAACAAAAAACTCCATTTGATCAAATTTTTGTTAAATTGTTAAACATTCATACTGTAAGTCCTGCTTACACTTGTAATTAAAAACAATATTAAAAATGTTTTAAGAGCAGAACAATGCCCTCAAATTTGATTGACGTGTGTCTTTTACGACTGCTCTTATGAAATTATCTAAAATTATTTTTAGAAAAATTGATAAATCTTGAAAAATGTAAGCCAAAAAATATGTATACCAAAAAGAAGACTCAACACATGATAAGAATATAAATCCGCTAAGAATATGAATCTGACTAATTTATTTGATAAGAAAATAAATCTAAAATAACAAAATTTATGAGTCAATATAATATTTTTAAATTCTTACCCATTTTTTATTTAATCTATCTGAATCGCAAACCTGGAGATCCGCAACTGCAGTTTTGTGCAATAAGAAAATACCACAGCAATTAAAAGGCAAAATATAAAAATATACTTAAATCAGCGATGACTACACACGTGAATACGGAGTACCCGTACTACGAAATTTAACAAAGAAACTTCAAGTGGTCCACTGGACCACGCATACTGCAGTGAGACAGTGAAGTGACATTGAAGTTGAACTAAGTACAAACCAAATTCATTGCAATCGGTACGAAGTTTCACGGGTACTCATGCAATGAAATGACCGGAGAACTATGCTATGAAACATGTTTTAACCATTGAAAGCGACATGTGATGCAGAAGCTTAAACGAAGAAATATAACAGAATAATTTAACGTCCATGTGCCACATAATTGAGGCCCTTTGCTCCACAAGAAGATAAAACAATTAAAAATATACCACACAAGAAGAGTCAACATAAAATAGGATGAAGCTAGGAAAAAGCTAAAGAATTTTCGTATATATATCATATGAAACAGTTTTATGCTACATAAAACTATGATCTAAGGTTCAAAACGTTATTGTTCTATGACATATGGTAGAGTTCTCTTATACCTAACGAACTTAAGGAAAATCTAAAAAGTATGCTAAATTGAAATTATTTTGATATTATTTGACATGCAACAGAAAGCCGGAGTAAGGTCGTAAAGAAACGACAAAAAGTAATGGAGCATAATACATAGCGCCTTTAAACTGAATCTTCATAAATCTAGAATATGATTCTTTGGTCGAACAAAACGCAAGAAAAAGTTTTAGAGAATGATCTGTCAATGTTAATCAAAAAACCTTTATTATGTATATGGTAGGTACGTATAAAATGAAAAAAGGTAGCAGGAAATAACATAGAAGAAGCTACCCTATTGAAACTACCCGTAGCATATCAAATGCATATCTAGTTTTTAAAGTTTTTATAATGACTCATTCAACGTAACTAATCTCTCTAACCTAATACTTAACAACATCCGTTAAATAATACGTCACATAATTTAAAAAAATGTTTCCCATTTTAATAGACCCATATATTGTAGATTTTTTTTATAATGAGTCATCCAACGTAAGTTGTAATAACTAATCAAACTTAATACTTGAGAGTTCCTGTTAAACAATAGGTCACACTATTAGAAATAATTGTTTATCCATATTATTAGATTCTGTTATTGAAATTTCTTATTATTTATCCTGTTGGATCTTAAATGGTTCTGATTTTTTTTTAACATAACCACATATTGAACTTTTGTAGTTATAGAATGTCTTTTAACTTTCAATGAATACAAATGTTCAAATTTATTCGTAAAGGCCCCACGCTATATTGGATCTAATTTAAAACTTCACTGCAATTTCACTGCATTAATTAATTTTCATATGGATTTTCATAGTTAATAATATTTAAATATTTTAGTTTTCACCATCAGCAATTATAAGTATAAAGATTTATTACTATCCAAATCTATTCATTTAATTATCTCTGCTTAAACCCACAATTATTTCTAGGTAAACAAACGCCCCATTCAATAAACATAAACTGTTAATTGCTCAATAAACCAAATTAACGCAATCTTTTAATTGACATTGTAAATTATTTTTATTATTTTATTTTTATATATTTTTTTTTTCTTTAATTATTTTTGTAATTAACACATTTAATTTGATTATTGCATGATTAACAAGTTTTAACTGGAAAATTAATTCAAATTAACACGAACATTTGTAGTTTGTTTGGTTTCGGTTTCGGTTTCAAACAAACGCACAATACCTCGTTAATTTACAATTTCACATGTGATGAATTCTTAGACGGTGTGAAACTAATCTATGATAATTTCTTCTACTTATGTTCTTCTTCGTTACAGTTAACAAATCTACCGAGTAATAAGATAGAATTGCATTGAAATAGCATTTGAATGATGAACTTAAAAAGGTCACACACACTCGAAACTAAGAAATGAAATAAAAATAGTTTATGTAGACGTTGCCGTATTACGTTCAGACAATGAAGATGACCTACAAAGAATCTTATACAGGTTTTCAAAGTGAGCAGACAAATATAATATAAAAATATTCACCTCGAAAACGAAGTCCCTAACAATCTCGAGACAGCCTCTTCGATGCAAACTTGCTGTGTACGAAACTTCTTTAGAGCAGGTCATAGAACTACCTTGGAGCTTAAATAATATTATCAAAGATCCTAAGTAGTGAAGCTACAGCCCAAACAAACAAAGCGGCTCGCGTAGCAGGTTGTCTTAGAGATACTGTAAGGCGCACCAAATATCTAAGTGTAAGAGGAAAAGTCCAAATATATAATACATGCGTTAGACCTATATCAACGTATGCTATAGAGACAAGAGCCGGTATAAAAACAACCGAACATGCTATATCTAAAACTGAAATGCACACTCTGCGTTCGATAATTGGCTTTACTCGTCGGTACCGAATGCGCAATGACGATATTAGCCGAATCTGCTGGGTACCGAACATAATTAAATGGGGTGGACGGAGATGAAGGAATTGAAATCTGCATGTTCAAAGAAAAGAAAATCATCGCCTAGCCAATATTGCAATGATAGAGAAACCAATCGGCTAACCGAGGCTAACCGGTCAACCGCCGAAGAGATGGCGTGAACTGCTAGACGTCTAGGCCTACAGAAACATAATAATTTGATAGGTCATAATTTTACATAAATATATCCAATTCAATTTTAACAAAACAGGATTCAATCCTATAGTAAAAAAAAAGAAGAAAGACATTCCATCAATAGCGATTTCAGATAGTCTAATGATCGCATGTAAATGATTGAGTATAGATTTATGCATCACGGCATAGGTTAGTGATGTTACAAGAACTCTTGACGCAAATGAATAAAATAATTCTATATTACGAGTATTAAACTTTGTAATATGAAACAAAGAAAAACAAGTTGTTATAGTTCCTTAACTCATATATTTTCCGTTTACAATTACTTAGAAGTTACACATGTGGCGTGTAACATATGTAAAGTATTAGGACCAGTAGATCCATTGTAGCGCTCTTTAGAAGTACAGGGCAACTTTATAAAATCTCATTTAGTCACATTGCTATTACGAAAACATAAGAGTATTGAATGAATTAGATATAGCTAATGCTTTGATGATTGAGATTTGTGAATTAATGGTATTTTTAAGGTTCTTGGCTTTACAGATCTATAGTACTATGAACATAAAAACACATTTAAACCCAACGTCAGAAAGTGAACTATTTAAACCAAAAGGGAGAACCCATTCTCATACAAATCAACACAATTTAATAATCTTATAGATTGACCTTCATTATGTTTTTCGTAGAAATCAATGTTCTTTGTGGTTCCAGAATTTCATTGATTTTGTATTAAAACTAGAGTTGGCCGCTTTAGTCATTTATTCAATGCATTATATTATGACAAGCTTACTACGTTTCTATATATTTTTATTATATATTGCGCATTTCAAGAAAATTAACATAACATACAAACTATACAGTAATTTTAATTAGAACCACTTGACTCTTAGCACTCGTACTGTTATTGATGTCTTACACGCGATGCAACAAATTAAATTATCCACATGTAAGCAATACGAAGAATTTTGCACCCACATAAGGGTTAAACAGTGAGTGATCTTTAACATCTTTATTTAATAAAAATGACAATAAAATATTTTTAAAAATACATCATAAATATAGATATCACAAATATTTTACTGATATAATATTGTAATTTTTTTTACAGTAGGTGAAAAGCATTAAATGTCACAATTTGAGACTAAGCGTATAGTCGCAGTTAAAAATCAAGATAAAAACAACAGGCAACTTAGTACTGTTATTAAAATAACAGTCGCACCACTGAAGGAATTGAGTAATTATATAGGAATTATATGGTAGCTCGATAGGATTTACTTCGGCAGCTCAACACACAACTGTTGAAACTCAGGTTTCGAAATAGCCTTGTTGGGTAGACTTTACACAGTTCTGCCAATTCTTCAAAGTAGAAATCTTCCACTAGTTGACTCTTCGTTCGGAAAAGTCGGTTACTGACATGACAATTACTCAATCACTTCTTACATGTCTCCATCGTAATTACTTCTGTATATGTGTGTTGCAATCTGTATTCCAAGAAATTTTTACTGAGGGTAGTTAACATAATCGCATGTAATTGTAAGGTTAGCTATCAGCAAATTAATTCTATCCCTTATTAACCTTAGTTGCATTAATATAGAGCAGAAGAGCTTTTGCAGTTCTTTTGTCTAGCATGCCCTTCTCACCGTAAAGTAATGTAACATTGCTATATATTCAAATAATTAATATACATAATTACTATTTTTATTATAATACATTACATTATTATATTACATATTATATATATAGTATAAACACTTTATTTAGTCTTCTACAAAATAACTAAGATAATATTTTAGAATTGTACTTCACAAAATTTAATTTTTCTATTAAACAATATTATAAAATTTGCTTATAGATTAAATTATTTAATATTAAATCTTTTTCGCTTTGCGTAATTGACGTACTGCTATTTTAAAAGGGATTGTACCTCGTCTTATCGCCTGAGTTCGTATTGCAAACATATAAGAATCTAATAGGCTTTCATCTTTATCATGTGGTTCCACATATGCGTTTAAACCTCCAAGAAGCTGATTTTTTAAAGATGGAATAATGACAAATTTTTAGATAATAATAAATTCTATATTTCTATATGAAAGTTATTACCATGTTTTCATCGCAATTTGCAAATACTAAAGCTGACAAATTATCTGACCACACTCTGCAACGATACTTTTTATCATATTTTTGCGCCAAAGGCACAAAGAGTAGTGAGGTAAATAATTCATTTCCATTACTGACAGCCGAAAAGTGATCCACAAATATTAAGTAGAGGTTTTCAAATTTACATTTATCTAAAAATAGAAAAGGAAAAAAGCATACTTTTTTTATATAGTTCATAAAAGAAAAACTATAAATCATTTCAATAAATTAATAAAAAATTTGCAAAAAGATAGATTTTAATCTTAAATAACTGTGTGAACATTTCAAAACTTCCAAACTTTATACAACATAGTTTTATCTGTTGTTAAATGGAATTATAATAATAGTAAAATATATTCAAAATATAGTACACAAACAAATATGTAACATGGTATTTGAAGATACACTTTATGAAGATCAATTCAGTTTTACGTACGACCGAATCAATTTTCTTAAAACTTTTTTATTCTGATTGGACTAACTCTAAAGCATGATATTATATTTTAAAATGCATGAATCACATCTTTCAGCTTCCAAAATCTTTGTATACGCATTTTCTTCTTCATGTTTAGGTACAAAATTAAATTATTGAAAGCCAAACTGTGACAATATGGTGGGTGATCCATTAATTCAATAATCATAAGTTTCACCATAGCAAGTTATCTAAAATCAGCAGACTACGCTTAGGGCTCACTAAGCTTACTCAAGAGCATTTACTTAATGCTGCACCCAATATATCCTCTAACCTCTTTCAATTCTAATATATCCTCTCTCATCTTCATAAAACACATTCTTCACGATTACCAATTTTTGTATTAACAGAAAATTAAACATTTCCTTAACTGTGATGCTTTCATTGCAATCCTTTTTCCCTCTAAAGCCAATTTTAAAAAATAAAAAAGCTTTTTCAAACCATAAAATATTTTAAAGAATATGTTAAATATTACATAAAAAATTAATAAAATAAATTAAAATAAGAAAGTAAGAATAAGTTAGGAAAATAAATAAAAAATAAAAAACACTTATAATAAGTTAAAGACCCGTGATGCTACAGCTTTTTTAATTTTTTGCTTATAATAAATAAAAAAAAAAAATTTGAATAAAATAAAAAATAAAAAAATTAAAATAAAATAAAAAAAATAATTAAATAAATAAAATAATTAAATAAAAATAAATAAAAAAAATAATTAATAAAAAATAAATAAAAAAAAAATAAAAAAAAAAAAAAAAATAAAAAAAAAAATAAAATAAAAAAAATAAAATAAAAAAAAATAAAATTAAAAAAAAATAAAATAAAAAAAAATAAAAATAAAACAAAATCAAATAAAAAAAATTCTATTATTTGCAAACTTTAATATTTGAGATGCTGTAGTTGGTCGTCTTAAAAAATGAATACATCCGAAATGCAAACCCGCTCTTAGAACCCTGGTAAAATAGTCAAACTTTATGTTCATATCTAAACGATAAACTTAGCTTTAATTTAATAAAAAAGAAAAGTTATTTTATATTAATATATGTATTATATTTATTCTATTTGTTTAAATAACCTATTTAGAACATGATGCAGAATTTTGGAACCAATAGATGTGAGTAAACACAATTCACCAAAGAAAATGAACATGAAAGTCGCTTAACAATTATATTCAGAGATATTACATGATGGAACTCCTTAAACTAATTATAATATAGTTTACCTTTAAATTTCGTTTCAAATTGAAAATTGTAGTCTTTACATTGTTCATATAATCGTAATATGTGCATGCGTTGCACTTCTTTTACTTCGTGATCGTTAAATTCGCATTGGGGACCCAGAAAGGTTATCATAAGATACAGTAACTTTTCCGTGGGAGAAACTATATGTATGTTTGGATAAAACTTTTCAAGATTATCTATAAAACTGAGTGTATTAATTATAGTTGAGATTTCTATAAAAAAAATTTCATTAAATATAAAATATAGAATATTAAATATAGAAAGATTTATTTACCGGAAGGAAATGCAGTAGGTTTTACCGTCTGCATATTAAGTGCATATTTTAATATCCTTTTTAGTGGGTGATATGGCCAATCGGTATTTAGAATTTGTGGTTGACTCGCTCGCATCGATAGCGTAAGTTCAGTAGAGGACTTAAAATTATATAAAGTATTTTAACATATTACATATTAATTTTATATATATATATATATATAGTATATTATATTCATAATAAGTTTTATAAGTTCTGTGTTTGATAGTATAATGTTATAATAATATACACAATAATCAGACTTGACAATAATAACTATTGCATTTGGTTAACAATAGTATATAAACTTTTTAATAAAATGGCAATCGATCATAGGTAGGTAAAATAAAAAGAGACCCAGAATTATCTACAATAATTTTAAGAGCTTACGATTCCTTGTACAAAAGAGTTTAAATACTCAACTGATTTGTAAACTTTAAATACGTATATAGTAATTTGACATAATTAATAATCAAAAGCTTAAGTCTATATAAATATAAAAATAATATTCAGGTGTCTTGAATCCGGTTTTTTACAAACAGGTTACATATAATTGCAATGAGCTAACCCTAACAATTATAATATATAGAACGCCATTAAAAAATAACGAGTATTTTGATATGTAGTGTATGTTGGGCGATTTTTTAGGACAGAATGAGATATAAAATAACTTGTGCGAATTTAAACTAAAATTGAGTGCAACGAAGCCTTTAAGACGTTTTGGTGTGAATGGCAAAAATGAAAGGTCAAGTTGACAATTAAGATACCGTCAGATCTCAGCGTACTGACACGCCCATCAATGATAAAAATGTTGAAAAAATTAAACAGATAATGCTTTCTAATAGAGTTACTAAAATAAATACTATATGCTTCCTGCTGTACAAATTTTTACCAATGTTTTGGGCATTAAACACAGTAAAACTTATTGGTTAACCAACAGCACTGCCGAAGCATCACCGCAACCACTCTACTCTGTAGACATGACACCCTAACAATTTTGTATATATTCTAAACTTAAAAGAAATCGCAAAGGACTACATTTTTAAACAAATACAAATATAGCAAGCTAAAGACCCTATCTATAAGGACACTCAATCTATAAGGAAAGTGTTTGATAAACTGATAACTACGGTGACAAAAGTATATAATATCAAAGGGGGCTACTTTAAGAGGATAGGAATAAACATTAAGTAATTTTTATTACTTTAAATAAACAATTTTACTTTTTTATCACACTTAATATTATATACATTTGATATTGGTATATTATAAAACTTTTATATTATTATACGCACCACAAAGATATAATGAGGATAAACTAATTCAAGATAGAATTGGCGCCATTTGTTTAAAAGTTCTGGATCAACATTATGGTATGCTGAATTGAAAATCACTTTTTCAAATAGTTCTTCTATTTCCTCTATATGGTCAGCTGTGAGACAGCAACATAGATTATAAGCTATCAACATCATTTCTTGTTTCGTGAGATAAGTGTCAATGCCTTCAAAAGCAAGTAATTTACATATAAACTTAATTTCTATTTTAGCAAAAAAGTTTGTAGCTAAAAACTGATTAGTTTTGGTCATGAAAGCTTTCATATATTCCACCAATGGTTCCATGATAGCAGGTTTGAATATAACATTATAAACGCTTTTATCGTTATGCTTGAACTGCAATTCAATTAAACGCCATAGAGTGGTTAATAAATATATAGAATACTGTTGCGATAGAATCAGTTGTGGACCATATGAATTCATTACTACTGCGCCCACATTTGGTAAAGGTGGATGCACCCAACGACGATCTGTCGAACTGCGTAAAATTATAGATGAATGACTGTAAAGAATATCATTATTGAAAAATTTTTTTAAAAAAATTTATAATTGAAATAGAAATACCGTAACGAAAGTATGAGTTCCATAAAACTTTTTGAAGCTACAAAATCTGGTAAATATTTATCGAGAAATGTTCGAAAACGTACAGATGAACTAGCGCGACAATACCAGGTAACGGCATTTAGACAGGCAGAGAGCAATGTTGCTTGTGTAAACTGAAAAAAAAAATTTTTTAGTATTTTAATTTTAATTAAAGAATTTAATAAATTCTTAAAACAATTTATTGATAAGGTCATGCTATCAGTGTGAAATATAACATCATTTAAAAGTTTTCCACTGAACATTTTACAGTACTGGATTCTTTTCAGATAATTTTCGAAGATTTGTAATCCCATAGTTGGCAATAGCTTGGCAGGCTATTAGACAACTTCCATGTACCTCCATTAGCGATTTACGCCGTTTTGCTACCATATTCCTCGCAAGAACCATAGTATAAAAGAGTAGAGACTAAATCCAACCCGCCGAATTTAAATAATTTAATAGATCATTCGTCTTCACTGATTAACAGTGTGATAAACTACCAAAGAAGTATCTTCTTAAGAACCTATATCGTCTGGACGCCAAAGCCGGGCATTCACAGAGAAAATGTATTATGGTTTCTTTTTCCTGCGGGTTTCCACAACTTTTGCAGTGAAGATTATGGGGAATGCGCAGTTTTTCTGCGTGAGTTCCTATACACCAATGACAAGAAAGAACTGCAATAAGCCTTGCAGTGTTCACGCGGTTTCTTTTGATGAGTTCCAAGGATCTATTTTTATTATAGGTGGGACAAGTTAACCTAGAAGTTGCACATGACTTAAGATAGCTTGACATATAGATAATGTTTGCTAAGCATCGACAATTCAAGGTTAATTGACATAGACAGGGTCCTTTGCGTATCCTTATAAAAAACTTCCAATGGTAAAAAATCGCATCAACAAAGCCAAAATAGGATGTCTTGTATAACTTGTAAAACGATACTTCAAAATCATCCCAAAAAATGTGGTAATCATGAGGCTATAGCGATCAAGGTTGATAGTTTTTGTGACACAAACTACAAATGTGGTAATCACGTGGCTGTAACGATCAGAATTGATGGTTTGTGTCGCACTTTCGTCTTTATCTAAAAAGTATGACTCTATCACATCTTCAAATCAAATGTCATACATTTCAGTGCTTTGGTCAGTGTATGCTATAGTCTTTCGAATATTATCTACTTATGACAAGTTTGTCTGTTATTATACCCACTAAACCCAAAATGAACCTCATCGCTAAAGAAAAATTCATTCTTAACGTATATAACAGGCAATCACTATTTTTGTAATAAGTTTTCACAAATTCACCAGTTCAGCGGCTGTTAAACGGTTTTTATTGTTAAATGGCAAACCTTAAACTAGATATATAATACATTGGATGATAGTTTTGTTTAATATATTTTACGGAAACAGTGCTACAAAATCTATAACCATAACTATGACTACAAATAAAAAAATTGGTGAGATATTACCTCCTTGATTCCATGAATTGTGGCTCGATGAAACCATTTGCAACAACAATTAAGTAATGTCTCGCTAAGTACATCATGTGCTTCTTGATTGGAGGGACCACTGGTTATAGTAGCTAATAACGCTGTTGCATGCTGTCTAATAAGAAAGGAACCGCCTTCCTCATAAGTGACATGATTGAAATGCCAGTGAAGCATGTAGCGAAAGGCGTGTAAGAATTTTCTGAAATAAATGACAATATATTATTAAATATGTGTCTAGAGAATGAATTAGCAACTTTTTCAAAATATATATATATAGCGTGATTTTATCTTTATTTGACTTAGTCTAAAGTTTACTTTAAAGAAATTTGAACAGTTTTTGAAAATAAAGTTCCATGATGCATTGGATTTATATGTGTAGTTTCTTGCTTTTAACTTTCGGTTGCGTAAAAATTTCTGCAGTGAGTTTTGCAATAAATTAATTATAATATTTTATTATATCAAGAATTATAAATATAAATTATTTTACGATACTAATTAGTTCCTTAATACACAGATTCAATTGTCTGAGAACTTAAAAGCACATGTTAAAAACTTGCATATGCAATGCCAAAAGCAGACTGGAGTGTCAGATGGCAAGAGCATTTATAATCTCTTTTCTATAGTTCTTCAGTTTCATTCTTTTTCTTTTTAATTTTTAGAAGTTTTACAAAAGCTACAACATACCATTGTTAGCGAAGACCAGACCTTATATTGCTACTTTCATTGCCTGTTGGACACAGTGGGTTTAGTAAGTATTTTTTATAATACTCGAAGAAAATATCTAAACTAATAGCCTTTATTAATTATTTTTTAATTATTTAAATAGATTGATGAAGAAAATAATGTACAGCTTGAGAAACTTTCGGATATTGTGCCAGAATATGAAACCATAATAAAAACGTTGGTTGAAAAATGTGGCACAAAACGTAAGTACAGTCACAATATTTATTTATCATAGCCAGTTGCACTGAATAGATTTAATTCCAAATAGTCTTTAGACAGTTGCACTTGTGCCGGAAAGGACTTGTAGAGCCATACAAATGTTTGGAGTAGAAGTCTAGTTTAGAAATGAGAAGAAGGGTTGTAAAGGATGAGGGAAGAAACTTAAATTATTATTAACTGTCATATACAAATTTATTTTTAAAATCATAAATTTTAAAAACAATTTATTAAATATTTAATTATATTATAACATGAAGTATGATTCTCATACTTTTTTCAAATAATTTCAGAATATTTTAAACTATTGGTTCAGTTCAGAACTTTTTTATTGCAAAGCGACAATAGTTCTTTTCATAGTCAAATCAAAGAGTCAAAAATTAGAATTCAAAACCGGTTTCATTTAAAATCAGTTCATAGATTTAATTATATCTACAGCTACTGTTATTTGTAATAATTATTATTTTTCTTATTTGGCACTACAGTCCAGTGTGAACCTTGACCTCCCTCTGTAATTATTATTATCATTACAAACAATAATGTTGGTCATAATCAGAACCAGATCATAGATCTAATTAAATCTACATTTGCGACTATTTATAATAATAATCTTTATTTCTTTATTTCACAAACAGATGGCGCTGATGCTTGTGAAACCGCATATCTTACAGTTAAGTGTTATGTTGAAGTTGATGCAGCAAATTTAAATAGCGCTTTTGGCTTTTTATTTATCTAAAATAAATGTGTATTAAATTATCAGAAATACAATGTTTATTAGTTTAAATAATGTAATTCATTTTATTAAATAAAAAAACCTTTAATTGTTCAAATAATGTATATACAAAAAGGAAAGGAAAGATGTTATTTTTATAGATGTATACATAAATTTACTATAATTCTGTTTATACCTATAACTGCTAATAAATATTAAATATGCATTGAGTTTTTAATAAATGATGAACTTAATGAATTATCTTACTTGTAGAATTGTCCATTATCCACGTTCAATAACAAGAGGCAACGTAAAACCCGTAAGCTTTCTGTTTGCACATGAACTAAAGCACCCTAAAAAGAATTAATTAATTTTAATAAAGCAAATAACTCAATATAATGTAAAATGTTAATATGGATATCAAAAAGACTTAATATCTATATAACGCTCAATGCTACAAACGTTGATATATAATTTTATTAATAAGCTCAACTTAAATACTATGTAGTGGTTCCATTTCGTGTCAGTCTTTTAGGAATTTCCGTGTTAAAATTATAAAAATAATAAGCTGTGTTTATGGAAAACCTATAAGTTCTTATCTCTTTTTATGTTAAGATCTCACGTCAATTCAACGTTGCGCTAAACAACACAAAAAAAAATTACTGCACCTATAGTCCCTGTTAGAAATGGTGAGCCGTATGATCGTCGGTATAGACAAGTGGCTTTAGTAAGTAGAACCGGTTTTTGTTGTTGTAAGACACAGAGATTTAGAAAAGGTATTACAAAATCGTATACATGTGTTAGGATATGGTTATGGAAACGAGAAGCGGAGGGGTAGGATTTTGAATGAAGTCAACCTGGGTCAAGGTGAAGAAACGTAGTCGCTTCAATGGAAAGAAACAAAAAATCAACTGGATTCTAGTTTGCGTGCGTATAAGGATATCCAAACAGATTGGTGACATCATTGGGGTTGGAGCTGCAATTAGGTTCGAAAAACATCCGGGTCCACGTCTCAAATTCTCTCGTTAATTTCGACAAACAAATGCCGCTCACTATTTACTCACTATTGCTCTGTCAGCTATTAGTTTTAATGTCTAAATGTATATGTCTGATTTAAGCACTGTTGATTTATGGCTTTGACGCATTAAAGTACTCAAACTCTTTTGCTTTGACTTATGCTAGTTTCTATTAACATCTACTCACACCCTCAGCACATCCCCATTTGAAATCCATCTCCTCTAGCCAAATTATCACGTATTTGTTTTGCAATTTCAATCATTTCTACGAAATACAACAACAACGTTGTGCTAAACTATAAATACTATCAATCTAACTTAAAGCCAAGAAGTGGCTATTTAAAAAAATTTTTAGAAGTTGATTAGAATCTTTTGCCCGTATTCAGAGGAGTGAGTAGCATTTTGTCTCCTTAAAAGACAACTGAACATAGTTCGTGGCGATTTTGGAACCATCCATTATTGTTCAAAAAGAAAATGGTTCAATACTTTTTTTTAAATTAAACAAATTTTAAATGTTGAAAAAAAAAAAACAAAGTACAACATACCCTGATATCATCACAGCTGCATATATAATTTAGCAACTTATCCACAATATTTAAATTTACAAATTTGATCGCAATTGGCAGACTTTGAGATATTAAGACACGTATCAGTTTCAGCACAAGATGTTGAGGATAATTATAATATGTAGGTGTTCTTGTCATGGTATCTGAAATTTAAGTTAATTTACTTTAACAAAACAATTATAAATATATGAATTATCATACCAACATTCTCCAAGCTAGGTAAAAAGTTATCAAAGAGACAACGTAACAAATTATCGTTATTAACTATTCTTATAGCGATTTCATTGTCAGTACGTGCTAAACGTATCAGTAGTTTCAGGCAGGATATTACAGCACTATTTTCAGGACGTTGCTTTTGTAAGATAAAACTACAAATATAAGAAAAAACTTAAGTCAAATTAAATCTGTATAATCTGTTTTATGGACTAGGATTTAAATAAAAACTAAATTCTAATTGAGTAAACTATTTTACAAAATTATTAATCAAATCTTTAATGGATGAATTTTTCTTTCATTTTATATCTTTGATTAAATTCATCATCTCAACATCTGTCATTTTTCTTATACAAAGTTTCTTGTGCGTTTAAATATATTCTCACATAAAAAGCTCTTTGTTCTTACTAAATTCTTTGTAAGATGTTGGAACGCAGTAAGCAATCTACTAGATCCACTTCAGCTAAATGAAAATCACTCATAGACGTTTTGCTCTCTTGCTCTGTTTCCTCTATATTTGCATCTATAGTTGTATGCTTGTCTCCATACGCTTGCTTAACTTGTAACTGCTGCATTTGTTTTTGTAAATCTTCCACTGAATCAGTTTCTTCCGACACTTCAGTAGATATAACTTGCAAAGTAGGTTGCCAGTAACAGTACGGATTATCATAAATGTAATCTAATAAAGCCTGCAAATTAATTATTTAATATGAAAACTGTATTATTAACAATAGCATGCAGTTAAAGACCTCATCAATTTCATTATAGAAGAGATAAGCTAAACCCTTCGATACAACTTCCGTCAAAGCGGGTTGTAAATCATCCAAGCCTAAACGTAATAGAAAAAATATTTTCGACAAAGGCAACTGCAGCACTTGATCGTAAAAGCCTTGATTATATAGTCGAAGTATGCCAGCAATGGCTTTATATCCGTAAATGCGTTGCGGCACTAAAAATGAGCTAAATATTAGAAACGAAAAATTATTAATATTTTTCCAAGTTCCAAGTAATTCAAATGAATTACCGTGCTAAGCGAAATAATTCCTGTAATGCATAACCAGGACGATGCGGATCTTCAGTGTGTAAATATAGCTCACGCTCATATGGCTGTTGGTTATCAGTGTTTACGGTCTCATTGAGACTGTAAGGCAGCAGCACACCTGCAAAATCAAAACGGGCTTCAAATTTTTCGCCAGACTTTAATTTTGCTGCTTTCATAGGTATTTCACGCATCCATTCCAATTTTTCTTTTTCAATCACATCAAAATTTATCCAATTCTCAGCAGTACTTTGTTCTAATAACTCAACTGCTGGACACTCATCTGGAAGTAGCGATAATGTAGGTGTCGTTGTGGTGGGGTTAGTGTCTTGTATATCTTTTGATTCACTAATTGGGTTATTTTCAACTTTAGTTATTGCTGACGTTTTTCTCTTGCGCATATTTTTTATAAATTCAATTGTCGAAGGATCTATAGTGTGGTATTACATTAAATCCATATATTTGTTTTGTAATATATAATTTTACTACCCAAATCTTTTAAAAGTTGTCTCCTTTCTTCCATTATTTTATCATCGTCCATATCCGTTATTAATTTCAAGTTTTCTGAATGCACTTCTATTTTCATATCTTCTATAGATTTTTCTGCTGGCCTATTGCTATGTTCAATCGGAATGCAATCCATTGGCTCTTCGGTTTTAATGTCAGTACTTGTGCTTACTGTCGGTGCTTCTAATTTAACTGCTCTTCGGTCCATAGCAATTGCAAAGAGACTTTTGCCAGTTTGTGACTAAAATAAAATTAAAATTTTTAAGTAAATTATTAACATTTGTAGCAGCACCTTTACTTACATTTGCGGGTGCACTAACAACTGTTGGAAAAGGTAATGCTACTGGTGTTGGTGTTTTGGTATGAACATTTGGCAGATTTGGGGGCACACTCGGTCTCTCAACAATATCTTTTAGCAGCACGTTCTCTAAGTTGTTTTGTGTCTTTTTATTCGCATAGTCAGTTACAGTATTTTCACGAATTCCGCATAACATTTCCTTAGTTTTGGCTATTTCGGGTATAGTTTTCTCTTGTATATCGCCTATCAAGTCTTTCTTGGACATGAACTCATTTTTAATTTCATCATTCGCTGAAACTGGTTTTTTGCGATTTTTTGCAAATAATGAAGTTTGCGTAGCTGAAATGTAATAAATTTATGTAATATATTTTTCTCTTTATTATTTTAAAATATATTTACGGTTTTTCATGTATTGTAATTGGGCTGCAGGCTTAAAATTAGCATTATTAGCTTTTTCCTCGTAGTATTTTTTTTCATGTTCGTAAACATCCTCATATAAAAGCCGTTTTCTCATTTTACTAGTAAGTAATTTTAAAACTTAATATAATTATTTATGTTTTAAAACGATTTAAATGGTTTAAGCGCCGGCAATGTTTTGTTGTGCTATTTTCAATGCACGAAATTAACCAATGCAGCTGTTTTTTAGCTCGTGGTGAATTCATTTCACCACAAATGTGATGTATGACACTTAGATGGCGCTGTTGAGACATGTTTGTAGCGTTCACTTTGCCATCTATCGATGAAATAAAGCTAAACTATATTTTCCAATAAGCAACTAGCTTGATAACAGACGCAAAAGAAGTCGTCAGTTGTTCATTAGTGAAAAAGCATTAATAAAAGATTGTCCCACGTGGAAAATAAGAATTAATGAAGTTGTTTTATTGTAACTTTATGGTGTAATAGCTATAAATCGGTACTCCCAACAAAAGCTATAGCCACATATTAAAAGTTTAATTAATGAATTTCAAACACATAATATCGTTTGATGAGCACTTATTTCAATGAGTTTTTAAATACCAACCCTGTACTTCGCAGCTCAACAACCTGTTGTCAAGTGTCAAATGCGATCAGCTGTAATTGTTTGGCATTGCAATATATGCGTAAATAAATCTAAGCGAATTTGAAAATTGTTTAAAACTAGCTTCGAAATGGAATGTGATGAAGAAAAAATTTATGTTGAAGTTTTGGATGAAAGTCAAATACCAGAGAATGAACTGGCGGAGTTCCAGGAAACGCAAATAATTAAAAGTGAAGAGTTCTTGGATATAAATTGTCAAGAAGATGAAGAAACTTTAATAAAGAAATTCGTGTCTGGTGAAAGTGGACTTCAGGACATATATACTATGTTAGGTTTGAATACAGAAAAATCAGATGATGAAGATGACAGTGACAATCAAAGCGAAAAAGAGGATCTTAGAGAAAAACCAAGCACATCATCTAAAATTTTTGGTAAAGGTGGCCTAGAAGAACGCACACGTCCACATCGCAAACGTTCAGTGTTGGAACCGAGTTTATCCGCGTTAATGGGACAAGCAAATCTAAGTTTCGCACGCGGACAAACAGATTTAGCTGAAAAAATTTGTTTTGAAATTATACGTCAGAACCCTTTAGCTTCAGAGTCTTTCTACACATTAGCACAAATATACGAATTTAAGGATGAAGAAAAATTTATTAATTTTTTAACAATTGCTGTTCATTTGAATCCCTATGAACGTGACACTTGGATACGTATTATTGATATACACATACATAAAAAAAATTATCCATTAGCTCGTAGTTTTTATTCAAAAGCAATAAAAGTATGTATTTAGCTCATCTGACGAATTTCTGTAAGTGATTTAATGCATTTTCTTTATTTTAGACCTTTCCAAAGGACTATGATTTACACCTGCGTAAAGCTCAATTATTGGATACAATGGGTGATTCATCTGCAGCTATGCGTACCTATCTAAAAATGATTCCACATGTACCACCCGAACGAGCTGAGTTGTGTTTAGTTACGGCAAAAAATGTAGCGCACTACTTTCATGGCTTAAAGAAGTTTGAGTTAGCTTTAAAAGCTATGGAACAAGCTTATAATGTGTGCGGAAAACGTTTTTCTTTAGACGACCTTAACTTATATTTAGAGTTACTGTTACTGCGGAAGCAGTACCAAAAACTGTTACTTTGCTTAAATGAAAAAACAAGTATGGACCTTGAAATAGAGAAAGTGGATGGTACAGAAATAATATTATATTGTCATATGCCGGAAAATTTGTTAGATGCATTTCGTGCTAAAGCATGTGTCTGTTTAATACATTTGACTGCGAAACATATATATGAATATATTATAGAGAATGTTTGCAACTACATACCAGTTGAAAGTGAACGTCTCGAGTTGTACATCGATGTAACAGAAGCGTTTATGCAGGAAAATAAATACACGGAAGCATTGCAATTATTAAAACACTTAGTTTATAATGAATACATTGATTGTCCTGCCTTTGTATGGTTGAGATATGCTGAATGCCTACGACATATGGAGCGTACAAACGAAGCTATCGAAAGCTATGAACGTGTAGTCGAATTAGCACCATTTTGTTATGAAGCAAAGTTTACATTGTCTGCGTTACTTAAACAACAAGGTAGACAATCTGAAGCACTAAAAGCGTTGGAACAGTATGATAAAAATGATAGTGAACCTTTGAATGCACGATTACTCTATGAGCGCGCTATAATGCTTAAACAAATCGGAGAAATCAATGAGTATCTAGATGTTGGATACGTTTTAATATCGCGGAATTCTCTTAAATTGAGAAATCGTGAAGAAATGACTGCAGTTGCGAAAGGTGGGAGCTTCTACAATTCTGAAGGTATTAAAACTGTATTACAAATGCGTAATATAACAGAAGACTCCGACGCAATGATACAGGTGAGTAATCCATACTTCTGTATGCTATGTACGGTACTTAATGTATTTAATATCAAATGTTTTTAAGCATTTTTAATTTTATTTATTTTTTATTTTAAGAATAAAAGTATGTTAAGGGAGTATTTAATTTTTAAGACTAATCCTAAAGTGCCTCTCATCTGCTTTATTACTGCTCGTCATATGCTTGGCGTCGCCTTAACACTTTAGGGGCTTTCTTTTTTAAGGATCTTGGCGAACTGCAAAACCTCCCTCTGAATAGCATTATAAGCTTTGCCAGGGTTCTAAGTGGTTCTGACGGTAACACGATGGACCTATAGGCCTAAGTGAATCACTTGGAATTGACGGTATAATCTGGCCTAACCTAAGACTAATCCTAAATTAATTTATGTACATATATGTTAATAACTTACGACATGTTTATATATGAAATTATTTTTAACTACTGAACTAACTCACTGTATTTTTCGCTTTTCGATTTCAAATATATATTATATATAGTTAATATGCATTTATAACTAGATCTATATTTATCTGTGTATAAATTTTTAATTATAAACTCACACAATTTTTGTAATTTTTTTTAGGAATATAACAAATCTCAAACTGATAATTCAGATCTAACCGTAGAAGATGAATACAAACTTCTAATGGATCTTTTAGATACAGCTTTTGAGCGTAAGAAGTTCAGTTACTTACAACGCATATGTTTTTCGCTAGTAACAACGAAGCGATTCACCAATTATCATGAAGAATTGCAGCGGATAATTATATTAGCGTGCTACTATAACGACGACTGTGACATGGCTTTCACGTATTTGCGTGAATTGATAACAAAAAAGCCCTTAGTGGTATCGCTGTGGAATATGTTATCACTTATGATACAAAAAGGTCACGATCGACGCTATCAACGTTATGTAAATCGTTTAATACAACGCCATGCCGTGGTACGTCCAATGCGCATACTTGTGGGTCATTTTCATTTAAATTGCAGTTCATATAAGTACGCTTTAAATATATATGCACCACTGTTAAAAGAAAACTCGGATCCTTTAGTGGCACTTTGCATAGCAGTCATTTTTAATCAGATTTCTTTGCAAAAGAAAGTTTTACGAAAAAGTTCTGCTATTGCACATTCCACTGCATTCGCCCATAGATATGCTGAGCTGAGACGCAATAATAGTTTAACTTGTGCTGCAGAACAGGAGATATGCTACAATATTGGACGGATATATCATCAAGCTGGAATTATGCATTTGGCTATATATTACTATGAGCGTGCTTTAGCCCAACAACATCCATTGATAGATGAGCACGCAGAGTATCTGAGCTTGACTTACGAAACTGCGTACAATTTACATTTGATATACAAAGCAAATGGAAACCTACATAAGGCACGGCAGATTTTATATAAATATATTGTGATTTAAACGTATTTAGCGTATTCAAATATATATAAAAATCTTAAGCTTTATCTATTTGTTTATAATATAGACTGATACTTTTAATTGATATGTTCGTTAGATGCGGTTTTTTCTTTCTTTAAAGTTTCAAAGAATATTTCATTTATTTATCTCTAATATTACTTATCATATAAAACATATTTTTAAATGTAATTAGAACAAAACTCAAACAAATTTACTGCACAACACGAAACACAACCGAACACGACGGATGCTCGTACAACAAGAAGAATGAAACAACTTGCTAACCATTAAAAGCAGCCCACACACAGTGGTTGCCAGATTGATATAGATAATTTTAAACATTTCTCCCACCTAGACGTGGAGGTACAACCGGATCTTGCGTCTATATTACTCGTGTGCTTCAGGACGTCCTTCAATGTCGATTGGTAAAACAGAGATCTTCGTAATTGGCCGTTTCACAATGGCGGACTGTGTTTTTATGGTTACGACACGAACAGCACCGTCCGTGCCAGGATGGACTTGGATAATGCGGCCAAGCAACCAGGAGCTTGGAGGCAATCGTTCATCTCGAAGTAGGACCAGTTGACCGGTTGCGACATTTGTTTGGCTTTTAGTCCATTTGTTTCTGGCATGTAATTGTGTTAAATATTCTTGGGACCAACGGCGCCAAAAGTCTTGATACATCTGGCTTAACATCTTCCATCGGAATAGTACACCAATCTTTGTATTTAGCAAATTAGGTTCAGGTACGGCAGATGGCGCTCGTCCAATCAAAAAGTGTCCTGGTGTCAACGCTGATAAGTCTGTGGGGTCATCAGATAGAGCCGTAAGCGGCCGCGAATTTAAACAATTTTCGACTTGTTTTAATAACGTAAAATTCTTCAAAAGTTAAAGTTGCCGTGTTTACTACACGCTTAAGATGAAATTTCATGCTTTTTACTCCTGCCTCCCATAGGCCACCAAAATGAGGCGCTGCGGGTGGTATAAAGTGCCAATTTATGCCAACGGTTGATGCAAACACAGACCCAGCTTCAATTTGTTTTTTAAATAATTTAATTTCATCTTTCATTAAAGCATCAGCACCGACAAAGGATGTACCACGATCGCTGTACATATCTGAGCATATGCCACGGACTGATACAAATCGCTTTAACGCTGCTAGAAATGTTTCAGATGTCATATCACTCACAAGTTCCAAATGAATAGCTCGTGTAATAAAACATATAAATAGAGCCACATACCCCTTGTAAGTACGATGGCCTCTCCCTCTTGTCGCTC